CTCATCTACGGTACGTGATAGGCCTATATACATTGTAGTGGTGGCTTGGCATCGGGAGAGGGACGCGAACCTACTTCACCACTTCATGTAAAAGTTATCACTTTAGGTATACATAGATATATATATATACAGGGTGATTCAAAATGAATGACCCAGTTTAACGCTTTATAACTTTTATACTATTAAACTTACCGCCATAAAATGCACATCAAACGAAAAAGCAACTCAAAGAGTTTATGCCTTCCAAAGACACATCATTTAACAAAATCGATCCAGCAGAACTGTAGATTTTATTGTACAAAGTTAAAAAGTAATCTCCAACTTTTTTTATCACTAGAAATTTGGAGGTTACTTGACGTTTTTGCAAACAACTTTTAAATGGTGAGGAAATCGACCAAAGTGGAAGGTAATATTCCGAAAGAGAATAAAATTTCCTACAATCTACTATTATGCATTTTTTGAAAATACTCAAGAAAGGTACCAAAAAATGCCTCAAAATGAAAGAAAAATTGAAATTCCCCGTCTTTAATGTAGACAATAAACATAGCAAACATTAAATTTCACAATTTTTTATTTTAAGCCAAATTTAAGCTACATTTATTGAGTATTTTCAAGAAATGCATAGTAGTAGATTGTAGGAAATTTTATTCTCTTTCGGAATATTACCTTCCACTTTCGTCGATTTCCTCACCATTTAAAAGTTATTTGCAAAAACGTCAAGTAACCTCCAAATTTCTAGCGGTAAAAATTTGGAGATTACTTTTTAACTTTGTACAATTAAATCTACAGTTCTGCTGGATCGATTTTGTTAAATGACGTCTCTTTGGAAGGCATAAACTCTTTGAGTTGCTTTTTCGTTTGATGTGTATTTTATAGCGGTAAGTTTAATAATATAAAAGTTATAAAGCGTTAAAACTGGGTCATTCATTTTGAATCACCCTGTATATAGGTATATTTCATCTAAAAGTTTATCAACTGTGATGAAAAACAACAATGATCTACGGTACAAGATAAAGCATATTTGAAAGACATGTACATTTTGAATGACTAGCCCATGCTTCTTATCGCAGCTTGAGTTTATTAGCGAGTCAATTTACGACACTCTCGGACCATTCAAACAAACAAATTAAACTTAACATTCAGCTTTCTATATGTGGTAATTGTAAATGTCATTATGATGCCATCTAAACATTAAACGTATATATTTAAATTATATTATGTAATAGGGATTATAATCACTATATTTTATCTTATTTGTTTATTATATCTCAGGAACCTTAGTAGATAGCTTTAGTAACTGTTACTTTTGTTTTGAACAATGTTAGTTAGAGGTAAGGGTGACATTACTGAATAAATAGTAGGCCCATGCTTGTACTTACTATGTTGAATATTTTGCATCACTATTTATTCTGTGGTATGATATAACTTTGTGGCACCATAGACGGCCAGAGTTTGACAACTTCAGGTTTTAAAGTTTACACTAAACTTAAATGCAATATAAATACATTGTAGAGTATTTATACGAAACAATGTTACATAAAGAGTTAGACTATTTTCGATAATGGCAAGACCTGAAAAAGCTCCAAAACGTAACTGATTACAGCACCTAGTTGTCAGAACCAGGCCTGTTTGTGATTAAATAATAACCTAAATCAGGCCTACTCTTCCCAACAATGATATCATTGTAGGCTAAAACTGGGATGTCAGATAATAAATAGAAACCGTTCAATACATCTCATTAAAAGAGGTTTAGCAATATTAATATAATTTGACATATAAAATGGTTTGTTATAGGGCTTATAACACAAAAGTTAGTATCCTTATTAAACTTCATTTTTGTTATGATGACATTGAATCCATCCTCATTTATATACAGACATAGATTAGAAGAAGCAAAGGACAGGACTTTGATGTGGTTTAAAAAGTTTGAGATGGTCAGATTAGAAAGATCAAATAGAAAAAATCACTCAATTTGAAAATATTTTACTATTGTAGGAAAATCCAAGATTTTACTACAAGTATTAATTATTCTAGGTCAACAATTGATTCCTGTGTTATTACCGGTCTGTATGTGTTATAATGCAAGTTTGCAAAATTTTCAGCTTAGGGAATTTCAATTAGTTCACCTATTTCAAACAAATAATAACATTTATTTATAGTCAGAGAAATATAGGATATGACCTTAAAAAAATTGCAAGAAGACATTTTATGGTTTTATTTTGTAAAGTTAGGTTCGCAGAATGACATACTAAAAGTTGCCAAAAATCGGTGCACGAGAAAACTACTAAAATCACAATTTAAAATGGCGGCTAAAAACGTGTTCCCTATCAAAATGAAGTACTAACCACCTGATAAATACAGGCGGTGGTCCCAAGCCAATATCTCGAAAAATGTGCATAACAAATGAATGTGAAAAATGTTTGTTTTTTTTTTGTAATTTTTTCAATGTTGGGAAAAGCCGCCATTTTAAATTGTAACTCTAGTGGTTTTCTCGTCCACCGATTTTTGGCAACTTTTAGTATGTCATTCTGCAAACCCAACTCTACAAAGTAAAACCATAAAACGTTTTCTTGAAATTTTTTTAACGATCCCTGTGTAAGTTTTTTTAGTTTGCTTAGACTATTACTACTTTTGTCAATTGATTTATCTTGTATAATAAATATAAGTTCTTGAAAGTAGCTTTATATTCTACTAGCAGAGTACCCGTCCTACGTACGGGGTGTGCAAATAAGTTTAAAATGCTTATTGCAGTTATACTCAAGCTTTGCGTTTGCAATGGGGGAGGATAAAGTTTGACAAAATTTGCTTCTTTAAATTGACGGTATACTATGGTATTACACATCTATCATAGCCATAATGTTCTACCACTAAAACAATAAAAAAAATATTAAAAATTCGCAGAAAATTACAAATCATTCATGACATTAAAAACATAAACATAACTGTAAACAATCCTATTTTGACAGTTCTCATTGCGTATTACAGTTTTATGTTGCTGCTTAGTTCAAATTAGCTGTTTACATAAATGCAAAAAAATATAGTTTGCTGCACCCTGTTGGTAAATCTTATAAATTTTTAATGCTTTTGTAGATCATAGAACCAACTTTTTTTAGTTGAAACAGCTGACTAAATTCTTTAATTCCCTTTAAATATGAATAGTCATAAGGTTAACTTGGGGAAAATCCAATGGGGTGGAGCCCGAAAGGATTTTTGAGATAAGAATATGCCTATATGTTAATCGGGAATGTGAGCTATCATCATGCCAAATTTCAGCCCAATCCGTCCAGTGGTTTATGCGTGATTGAACTTCAAACAAACAAACAAACAAACAAACAAACAAACAAACAAACAAACAAACAAACACACAAACTTTCACATTTATAATATTAGTTAGATTCTTGAAATATTAAGATTATTTCTTAAATGCCGAAATGAAATATTACGTGAAGTTCTGGAAAATAATCTCTCAAACAACTTTAAACATGTTTTCAAATTTACAAATATAAAGTTGTAATACCAACAAGCAACTGTTTAGTAAGTGATTCAATTATTTTGTCTGATTGTGTTACTATACATTATAGTCTACTATCTATATGTTTAACTATTGACAAGAATGCAGCAATAAGCTACATCGATTAAATCAATCGATACATATACATAATACATAATTTCCTTATTTAATGTTACCAATCATATTTATATCGTTTACTACCGTCAACACACTTATAATTTTGGCTTAGTTACGCCTCCATCACAAATCATAAATATAACATGTTTTCTACAACCATACAGTTTTAAGGTAGGCTATACAAGATTGTATATCAGGAAAGAGTAACATAATGGAACTTTAACTTCTGGTATTTTAAACTTGACAAAGTGTAAAAGGAGGCTTACCCTTGATAATCTGGTTAAAGCAGAATCGGACGTAAACCAGCTGACTTATGATGGAGGCTTAGACTCCAGAGCAGTCCCGGGATTACCATTTTTATTGGGACAGAAGCTTCTAGCATTGCCAAACACATTCTCATTTCATTACTCTTTAGATTAAGTTATCAGTTAAAATTCTCATCCTCTAACTTTTTAAAAACGTTGTTCAAAATTTTAAACACAGCCATATTTAAACTTGTGCACTAAAACATTTAAACTAGTATTCATGGGATGTATATCCTATGGTTTTAGTTTTAGTAGTCAACCACGATGAGCAGTTATACTCAAGCTTTGCGTTTGCAATGGGAGAGGATACAGTTTGATAAAATTTGCTTCTTAAAATTTTAAGGTATACTATAGTATTACACATCTAACATAGCCATAAGATTCTACTACTTCACCCAAACAATAGAAAAAAATACATTATTAAATATTCGCAAAATATCACAAATTATTCTTGAAACTAAAAACATAAACATAACTGTAAACAGCCAGTTCTCATTGCGTTTTTTGTTGCTGCTTGGTTCAAATTAGCTGTTTTCATAAATGAAAAAAAATAACAGTGCTGCACTCTGTTGGTAAATCGTATAACTTTTAATGCTTTTGCATGTCATCAAACCAACCTTTTTAGTTGAAACAGCTGACTAAATTCTTTAATCCCATTTAAATATGAGTACTTATTGGGAAACTCTAGAGCCACTGGGGCGGAGCCTGAAAGGATTTTTCAGAAAAGAATATGAAACTAATTCCCGATATGTTAATCGGGAATGTGAGCTATCATCATGCCAAATTTCAGCCCAATCCGTCCAGTAATTAATGTGTGATTGAACTTCAAACAAACAAACAAACAAACAAACGCACAAACTTTCACATTTATAATATTAGTAAGATAAAGCTTTTATTAGTTCAGTTGACAAACCATTTCTCAAAGAAAAGTTCTAAGAGCAATGTCTTTTACTATCACTGTTTGCTTGATAGTTTAGTATAAAAAAAAACAATACTCAAATTGTAATACTGTAATATAAACAATTTTTTATCACTTTACAAAATAAATATGTATATGAACACAGTTGTATTTTTTTTTATTTGTTACCTCCTTATGCATGAAGTTTAAACCATTTACTATTGTTTTTACTTTTTCTTGCCTTTAGCTTTCTTCTCAGATGAAATTTTCTGTTTATTCTTCTTTCTTTGGGATTTGGAACTTTTTCTCGATCTTGCTTTTGAATGGTCAACTGCTTTTTCATTATACTTTGCTTTTGTTTCCAAGGGATGTAATGAATTAATTAAATGTTCCACATATCTAGAAAAGGGGTTTCTATAGTTAAATGATGGTCATGGACTAATGTTATTTGTGGTATTCGATACTGAAACTTAAAATATTAATATGCATACCATCTTATAACCTAATTTAGTTAATAGTTTTAAGCGGAAGGTAGTTTTAACATTTTAACTTTGTTCAAATTAAGAAAACTGTGAATATTGCAAGGAATGAATTAATTCCTCAGTTATTCTTTCTCCAAACTAAGCTTAAAAGATATTGTTGAGATGTCTACACAATTTGCTAAATTTGATGTATGATATTTATTTGCAAAATTAACATTTCTGATAAATTTTGTATCAAATATTTTAAAAGATGCTATTTTAAAACCATCTTAAAGTTTGTATTCACATTTTGCACAAAGATAGTAGTGGCAAATCTATATAATCTATATAATTAATATAGACACGAAGTTTGTCGGTTGAGCTCCTCCACCATTTCTTAACCGATTTTATCCATTGTCGTCTCATTGGAAAGAGCGTGTCGCGTAAATTTGTAAACTGGCCTTACATTTCTGAAAAAGTCCCTTGGGCTCTGCCCCAGTGGCTTTTGAAGTTCTTACGTTATCCTTATGGAGAATATAATTGTTTACATTTGGATCAGCTGTCTAATTTAATTGCTGTTTTTTTTTTCAATTCAATGAAACGCATTAAGTACATTCAATGATTTTGTAGAAATGAAATATTTACTATTTTAATTTATATTCGTACATACAATGTAAAAAATCTAGAAGCCTGGACAATTGACATTGTACTGTATTTCTTGAGCAATCATTGAAAGAACCGATTACTTTACCACGAAAACATAAGAAAGTCATAGAACGCCACGAAGTAGAAGAAATAGAGAAAACAAAATTTAGGTTAAGTACTATCGTTATTAGCCTATATAATGATGAAGAACACCTACAATATGAAGATTCCCACAAACAATGAAGAAGGATGTTAGCCATAGTACTACTATTTTGTAGGAAACATGGACTTAACATTACGCTAATTGACAAAGGAAACCCCTCTGCTGATTTAAATTGGTAATGCAAGGACAATAAATATATGTTTTCATAAAGGTCAAGTTATTTTAAAAAGAATACGACTACATCCAAGAAACCTTAATAAAACTTGAATTGAAGGATTCGCATTATTCACATTTAAGGGAAACAACAAACCATCTGAACAACATTAGGCCTTTCAATTCTGCATTCTTCCAGGTAGGCCCTAAATATAATTTACGTTATAACAATAACTAGCCAAATTAATTCCAATTGAAGCAAATAAAATTATGTCAGAGAGGTTGTGCAGAGAATTAGGTAGTTCGTAAGTAATATATACAAAATGTTATCGCTATAAAAAAATGACTGAAATTTGTAAACGTACTGGCGACTATGGGTGGTACCATGCAGACTACATTATCATTGACTAAGATCAACATGGACAAGCAAATGCGGCTATAAGTGGGAAACATTTGTAGAATACACTAAAAAACCGAATCAGCTTTTGAAAAATTATAAAATATTTACAAGAAATATTGATTATATGGAACTGATAGGGACGTAAACTATTAGTTGAGTCGTTTAAATTCATCGTAAATTATGATTTTATTCGTTTTTAATTCAGTTATTTGTGTTTCAATAACTAGGCTACTTTACTTGTAACAATGTTGTTGCAACATGTACACTATAGTTCGGCCGCTTAGAAAGCGACCTCCTCCAGCATTGGTTTAGCATTAGCGCGCAGGTCGTTTTCCAAGCGGCCGAACTATAGTAAGATAACAATTGTTTCACCACACTATGATGTTTTTAGCCGTTTTACAAACGTTTATAATTGGAGGCTGAAAGCATCTGAACTGAAAGCTACGTAGGCCTATTGCTGTGCATGCCAGCTGTCATCGTCATTTGGGGACCGAGCAGGGTTTTACATCCCCAGGGCTGAAAATAAGCTGTTCGTTTATTTACTCAAAACATTAGTGTAGTATCCACATCATGCATTGCAATAGACCATGGCCACACTAAAAAAACCTTGAATAGACCTGTTTTTGTCACAGCTGACTACCAACTACAGTATTTATTATTTTTCCTGATTCCTCTAAATGGAATCACTAAAATTCCATACAATTGAAAAAAATGGAAAGATATCCATACAATCTTTTCCACAAAAAAAAACGTTGCAAACGTTTCTTGGGTTTCTGTTGTGGTTTATGATCTTTAGTAAGGGTGGTGGTGTTAGCACGTCATTCCCTAACCTTAAAATTGTAGATGTGTGCATTTATTGAATATATTTTCTCACTTTCGTATAATGTGGTGAAAAATAGCGTTCGTACCAAGGGCCGATTGCACAATATCTACTGTAGCTCAACTTACGAAAAATATCCAAACAGACAGGCAATCACTGAAGGGGAGAAATAAAACGAGAAATAAATCGGTTCCGGGTCCAAGTCTTACAATGAGACCTACTGTATAGCTTATTCCCAATTAGGGAAATATTCTTAAAAGCATTACTACCTTGTCTTTAGTTTGGTTTAACTCACCCATTTTTAACCCCTTCAGATAAGGGTAAAATACTTATGATTTGATTTTCTTTTTCTATTTTTTTAGTCTCTAATTTCGTTTTAGAGGCAATGGTGTTGTTAAAATTTTCTAATTTGTCTTGAATTTGTTGATCTTCAATATTCTGAGTGTGCTTTTGTGTGTTTGCCGTAAGATTATTTTGGGTGATAGATTTACCAAATTTTCTATTTTTGTTCATTGACCTATTTTTAGATTTATTTCCTACAGATTTATTTCTTCCTTTAGTTTTATGTGGAGATTCAGATTTTCCATCGTGGTTACTGCTGAGCTTTGGTTTATTCTCATCTTTTTCTTTATATGTTTCATTTCCATTATTTTGTTCTGTAGACTCGTTTTTCTTATTTCTTCTATTTATAGACTTTTTCATGATTTTTCCAACATTTTCCCCATCAAATTCATCTGAAAATATAGAAGCAGATCAAAATGTTAGAATAAAAAATCAAATATGCTTATTTAAAAAAACATAATATTATAAACAAAATATCTTTTTTAGCGAATTTCCCTATAGGGAAGTAGCTATTACCGTAGGTCTCATGGTAAGACCTAGGCCCGGGACCGATTTACTTTTTCATTTTGATGTCCCCAGAGGCCAAAAACACCATTCGTTCAAATGTTTATATATCTATATATATATATATATATATATATATATATATATATATATATGTGTGTGTGTCCATTCGCACCATAACTTGAGTAATTTTTGTCCGATTTTGATAAAATTTGGTTTGAAGGTGTAAGGCGGGATAAACTCGAACGAGTTCGCGAACCAGCATGATCGGACTATGGGAACGGGGGTTTACGGGGGGTTTTATGGGGTAAAAATAGGTTTTTCCCATTTTTTACCAAAAAAAATAAAGTTTTGCAAAATTTTTTCAAACCATTTTGTAGAGCTTCAAAAAACAAATAATTTAGTATATTGAAGTGTTACTATGCGCCTAATGGTTACGGAGAAAATTCCAAAAAAATGTAAATTTTAAATTCCCATGTTATTCTTATGGAGAATGAGTAAACTGTTGTAGTTTGCTTGTTTATGAATATATTTTGATCAAATTTGGAAAATGTTTTTATTTCTTACTAACTATTAACATTTTACAAAAAAAGTTTTATCCTCCCTGATGCAGCAAACCTAAGTACCTGTTAAAATAATTCTATTTAAATAGGAAATAAATGTTAAATTTTTAAGTAGATATTTTAGTGTAAATCCAATCAGACATATGGAAATTCGCTTAGTCTGCAGGTTTGCTGCGGCAGGGGTATTTTATAAACAAAATAAGGGGAAACGTTATCATCTGTGACAACAGTGATGAACGTATAATATTACAGAGATACAGTGTATTTTCAAATTAAGTCACAATTTTTGGAATCAACCCCTGATAAGGTATATATTTTTTTTTGCGGAGCGAAGCGAAGCTCTTTGGGATCGGCTGCAATGCAAACGTTCTAAGGCTATCACTATCACTAAATAACGGCTGAACAGATTTTAGCCAAACTTACTAAGGTTGTTTCGAAAAATGTTAGGAAGGTTTATGAAAAAACAATTCCAATTTTTGATAATGCCTAGCCTATAATTTCAAAGTTTATAAATTTTAACATTGGCTTTATGGGTTGCCATGATTGTTAAAACATAAGGACGAAAATGTAAAAAAAAACACATTTGCCAAATCTGGCCAAGATTGACAAAATAATGTTGATTGGTCGGGTTCAACCAGAACTGTTGGCTGACCAGGATGACATTACCAAGCAAACATGGAAAAAATACCGATACAGAATAAATATGTATGTTCACACCATTCCTTAATGAAACTTGTTATATAATGTTTATAGTTTTGAGAGAAACTGATGAGTAGGCCTTAATTGATGAAATAGTTGTATTACCCATATCTATAAACATTGTTTTTATTATTGAATTATTAAAAAACCATGAAACGTGATCGTTCTGCTCAACTGGCTTTCAATGCCATGAAAGCAATCCTAGTTAGATTTAATTGTGTATATGTACTTTTATAATTTGTAGTCTTAAGTATTGACTAGTAAATGTTAATATCTATAGTCTAAGAGCCAGTGAAAAGCTACCTGTATGTATTTCACCAGACCTGGGGTTTTGTACAGTGCCCCTATACTGTACCTACCTACCTAGTGGGTGGAGAGTCACTAATCCCAAAGTAATGGACCCCCACAGACCCCCACAGGCAAGACAGGTATCGATTTTCGGCGAATTTTAAATTATGTTGACCACGTCTGCCGTTTTGTTATTTGAAAATATATTATTATTATTATACAAAAACAACAATGGCAGACCATTATTGTGCGTTTATCATGGTGGCAGACAGTTGTAAAGGTGAAGTGCTGAAACAATAAAAAAAAACTCTTAAATATCAGCATAGGTTGAGTTTGGTATTAAATTAAAGGTCTCCGTTAGTTTAACACAATGCCACAAACCCGAACTCAAACGGATAACTGAGTAACGAATGACAGGTGTGCAAAGATCGCTTAAATTTGCAATGCTTATTTATTCTTACTAGTGTACCTGTTACTCAAATTCGAGCAATTGCTAAGTATTACAGGCGTAATTTTAAAACGAATAACAGTAATAATTTCTGATGACTTTCAAGATTCGACTCAAATATTATCACTTTGGGATTAGTGACTCTCCACCTCATGTATGGTAAGTATAGGGGCCTCACCGTACAAAACCCCAGGTCTGGTCAAATACATACAGGTAGCTTTTCACTGGCTCTTAAACTACTATTGAAATTGTAACAGCTGATTCCGTTTCAGAACTGTTTATTTTGGCTAATACTATTTAGCAAAGTCCAACCACAATCATATAATAGATAGTAAGTTTTTTTTAAAAAACAAATGAATAAATATTTTAAGAACTATTAAGAACCATGATTACTACTTGAAAACAAAATTAAATATTAAAAAATGTGTGTTTTATTATCCTTGAATAAACACAATCGTTTTCCTACTTATTTATTTTCAAATTGTAAATTAGCATTGTAAGTACTGCAGAAGACCGATCCCTTGAACATCGCAACATCCTACCAAGAAATTATAACTTCAAGCAAATGAATGAATAGACTAAGGAAAGATTAAATGACATTTCTGAAATTTACTTAAAAACTCAAATCAAATTATTATAAAAATGTTAAAAATCAGACAACATCAGGGTTGCCGATACCTTTTGAATATGGAGATCCTTTTCTGTTATCTTTCACTTGACCTTTTCTTTTTTTCTTGGGTTTCGGAATCAGTGTTTTCTTAGATCCTGGAGACTCAGGGAGTGTTCCATCATTTGTGGATGTTAAGAGTTTTGGTTCTTTAAAAACAAGTGGAATTTCCACTGGGACTATAATGGTAGGAGAGCTATAAGTCTGACTGATCAGCGAGAATGTAAAACGATCTGCAAAACTACAAATTTATGTTTATTTTTGTAAATTATAGGTCAAATTTAATTGCTTGAAGATTTTATTTGCACTTTATTAACTGAAATTGATACTTTAGATTGCATTAGATGTACCCCAACACCTTAATGTAGTTTTTAAGGCGAAGATGAATGAAGAATGATCATAGTCCGAGTACGTGTTGAAAGAATAAATGAATGAATGAAATTACGTATTTGTACTGACTAGCTTGTTCTTTATTAGCCAGGATTTAAAATCCCACTAAGGACAGCTTGGTTAAGTTTCAAACTATCAACAAGTTATTTATGCCTTTGCTCAGGTCTAAACTGTCCAGTCTTCTGACTAATTACTATATCCTCTCAGCTATCTTTAATACAAAATCATGTTAGTAATGCTAATATTGAGAAATTTCTTTTAGGATCTACATAAGTACGAAAATAAATTAATCAACAGATTGTGGTAAATAATTACGATTTTGAACCGACATCTGGGTGATCAAATTTGAAGGAATAAGATGGTTAGGGTAAGCTGTTTATAAGCCTCAGCTTTCCTGTGTGCAATTGAATATAGAATAAATTATTATGGTTTAAAATGTAAAATTTGATTGGGCCTTTCATTTAACATCTAAAATAAATTTAGATCTAATAATCCTATCTACAAGTAGTAACGTGTACATACATATCATAAATCATTTCCATTACTGAGTTCAGGATTCGTAAATTTTTAGCAATCTTTTCTTCTGTAAAGCCAGATTCTTCCTCAACTTTTAATGAGTAACTGGATTGAGTTCTAGAGGCATGATGTGAAATATTAGATCTTTTAAATTTTAGCTCAAGATTTTGGTCTGAGAGATTCACTTGGTTATTTCTTAAAATTGCCTGAAATAAGTTAAGAAATTACTATTATAGTCAATAATGTTCAGATAAGATTAGGAGCAAGACAATTATAATTGTTAGAGCTCACTGAGTTTTGGCTCTGATGGTGGGTAGCAGCAGTGTCAGCATCAAGAAGCTATCCAATAGACATAACATGTCACCAGCATGCACAGAGGCATAAAGGTGCTTTCCCAAACCTCATCCTAGCCCATCAATCAATGGCATTTCATAGTAACAGTGCAACTTAACTTAAGAACACCAGCAATACATTATCAGGAATAAAGAATATGTTCGGTCTTATTTAAAATGTGTTAGGAAAAACCCTCCGATGGGGCTGTAAAAATGATGAACTAGCAGAGTTGTTATACCCTTAGTAGTGCATAGACAGAATAAACATGATACGTATACTCACACTATGGAGGGATTCTGAAGAAACCCGACTTTCATTGTCACTTGATAAACCAATGATTGATTTTCTCTTTAGAGTACACATTTGTCCTGGTTGGGGCATTGGTTCGCCAGCTTTAATGTGATTCTCAGCTTTATAAAACATTTCTTGTAGTTGAAAAAATAATTCTTCCCTCAACTCACCATTGACTGTGTAATATATTAATAGGTAATGATTATTTTGTTCATATGATATTATTTATATTTTAATTGGACTAACTCATAAATATAAATTAAGTACAAGAAACTTATTCCACAACTCTAGCACCTTAAAATCACAAGCATAAAATATAAATTTAATTTTACATTTTAATCATTATTTACGATACTAGTGAGGCTCAACGCGCCGCAAAATAACATATTAGGAATTTAGAAAACAAATTCATCGGTTAATACAGTGACTCTAAATCGAAAATAAAATAAAGTAATAAAGCCTTAGAAGGGACACATTTAATAGATCATTGTATCATATAAAAGCATATTAAAAGGACATAAAACTGCTGCTTGAAGAAAACCCTTGTAATAATAAAAACTACAAAACAATATTTTTAACACAAGAGTTCCTTAAATACTACGTTTTTAGTCGTAAACCCTTGAATACATATTACATATTACCTTCAGGAAGATTACAAAATAAGATTACTAAATAATCTGCAAGCAAATTATCAATGCTTTCGTAGACCTTGGGCTCACCTGGAAAAATTTATCGAAGACTTTGTTCTTGATCAAATCAGTCACTGTTTTTGGAGCTAAAATAGGCTTTGTCTTTCATTAGACGATTTTGTATACTTTCAACGACGTTATGGTAGATTAAATCAATGAATAGAAACCCTTGCACAAAGATTGGGATCTCTTGTAATCAAACCAGGTATATTTTCTTCAACTCTCCTAATCTCTCTCGTCATTCTCTGCCAGTAGAGGCAATAGGAGAAAGAGACACCACTTGGGGCGTTTTTTCCCATAATGGGGATCATTTTTAGCCACTTTTTCAAAACTCCTGATCTTTGCCTATACATGCAAATGTTCAATACTATTGTACAACTCTATAAACATTTCAAATCCACATCCATTCGCACTTATATTTTCAAAATTGTGCGAGGTTTGCACGCGAACTCGGGCACGCTTCCCTATAATTGTCTCGCTCCCGACCCACAGTTGTGCTTCTTGTCCCCAGTGGCACCTCTTGATCGAGTCCTGGGTGGGAAACCTTCCAAACTTCATCTCTTATTGAATTTCTTAATTTCTAGTTCATTTTTTATTATTTATGTTAAAATTTCTTAATTTCTAGTTAAAAATGTTGAAATTTTGCAAAAGCCTATATATAGAGGTGACATCAGCCCGAGACCTCATTCCTAAACATGAAGCCGTCATGTCAACACTGCTCCGTGTCGCTCTCCAACGAAAGCAGCCTGATTCGCCACTACAAATTAATACTGTACATCAAATAAAGGTGAAACTGTGCAAAGTTTGTGACTTAATCTGTGATAGCAACATGGCTCTAGAATCGCACATATTTTATTACAAAGTAATAAGACTGGCAATTTCTGTAAAACAAATGTTGTTGAACATTTCAAAAGACACGTCAATTCTTGCAACAATTAATTGTCCTTAATATACAATGATTAAATTTGTTGGTGAATCGATTAGAACTGAACTTAAAAATACTCTTCAGTCTTGTCCTCTGCCAATAAATGGATTTTAGTAAGGAGAATCAAATTTATAAAATACACAATAGATCAAAATGGAAAATTAATAAATGAACAATAATATATTATAGGGTAAAATATTATTTTTTTTAATCGGTTTCAACTTGTGGTTTATTTCAAATCTTTATTTACCAGTATCTCACTGTGTGGACTAACGGCATGGACGTCACGCTAGAACGTGTATCAACTGGACCTCATCAGTTGCAAATCTACTAATCTAGGTTGGTGATACAAAGAGTCAAGTACTCATGTCACTTACTTGCAATACAGCGTAAGACAAATCTGAACCACATGAGGTGAACATTTTGGTCTTGAGTAGAAAAGCCTTTGAGTTGCAAGTACTTGACTAACTTGGATAAAATATCCAAAAGCCAAAAAGATGTACAGTTGAATTCATAATCAAAAATGTTCAAACAACCTCCTAGCTCCCTAAAACAAACAACAACCTACACGATTTGGAGAGACAAAAATAGATGAAATTATACTGTATCTATATATATAAAAGGCAAAGCCCTCACTGATTCACTCATCACTAATTATCTTACTCCCCATTTACCTAGGAGGCTGAAATTTGGTACACTGATTCTTTAGGCATTAAATAGGAAAACTAAGTTGTTTTTATTCCGATCGGACTCTTGGGCTCCGCCCCAGTGGCTCTGGAGTTTCCCATGTTAACCTTATGAGTACTCATATTTAAATGGAATTAATGAATCTTAACAGCTGTTTCAATTAAAGCTATGGTTCCACAGACTGCGGAACTTCCGCCGTGCGGTGCGTAATTTTCCGCTGTGAAAAATTACGCAGCGTAAATCTGGAGGGGTGGTTCCACTGACTGCAGAAATAACGTTGCGGAAATTCAGTTCTGTCCAAACTAGCGACGAGTATGGAACACAAATAGAATACCATAAATACCATAAAATAATATTAGGTAATATTCAGACTTAACTATTTTTAATTGTGGTTACTTTTATTGTAAACTGATGTTTTAAAAATTACCTTATTAATTTTTTATGAGGATGGTGATAGTAAACATAAATAAAATAATAATTTGGACTTAAATTGTAGTTTTATTGATACACGAATAAATATACAAGCCCCAAAAATGAATAAGGTTATTGAAATAATGTTAGGAAACTTAACTGATCGGTCACAATAATTAATTGATGGCTCTTCTCCACTGGCGGAATCCGCACTGCACTGCTCTCAGACCAGTATGATTTGTCCGCCATGCGCAACCGAAAATTCGGGATGCGGAAACGCACGTCAGTGGAACCGCACACATGGGAACTCCATTAAACCAGTGTCGTTGTAATTCCGCAGCGGAAGAAATCGCACCGCACGGCGGAGATTCCGCATCCTGTGGAACCATAGCTTAAACAAGTTGTTTAACAGTTGAACAGCTGTTTCAATTAAACAAGTTGGTTCTGTTCTATGATGTTCAATAGCATTAAAGTTACAATGATTACCAACAGGGTGCAGCACTATTATATTTTTTTAATTTATGACAACAGCTAATTTGCAACCAAAAGGTGAGTGAGCGTAGTGGACAAACTTCAACCTGGAGGCGAGTTAGTGTAGCGAACGAGCTAACCTGAAGGCAAGTGAGCGCAGCGAACGAGCTCCAACCTAAAGGTGAGTGAGCGTAGCGAACGAACTTCAACCAGGCCGTGATTGAACCATGCGTACGAGCTCACTTATGAAGTTAAACGGGGCAAAGCCCGCGGGTACAGCTAGTTTTATAAATAAAACTCTAACTTATATATTTCATCACTAGGGCATAAAGTGACTCTTTTCAATCCAAGTTTCAGCCCATAAGAGGAAAATGAGTAAGGGTTGAAAAGACACTCTTTGTCCGTGTGATTAACTATATTTTTTGTCATATTGGAACATTAACAAGCTAAGCTAGAAAACTAAAATACTTTTCATTTCAAGATAATATCTCGTTCTCTCAAAATAACTTCCAACTTGTTTTATTAATTAATTGTGTTAATGCAAATTAGCAAGCAGCTATATAGTACCTAAGTGATTCAATCATTTCATCTATTACTGTTGTGTTAGTATAAAAAAAAATAATAATAATACGTTTAATAGCACTAGTAATAATATATTTACACTTATACTGTTGAATCACAAGACGGTAAATACATATGAAAGATGGTAGGTGGTGATCGATTTCGATTGGACACTCCAATCATCATCAGACCCAATAGGCGAATCATTTTTTACTGAATCATTTGCCTATTGGGTCTGATGATGATTGGAATGTCCAATCAAAATCGATCACCACTTACCATCTTTCATATGTATTTACCATCTTGTGATTCAACAGTATAAGTGTAAATATATTATTACTAAAGTTATTAGACATATAATCTGTTTGTTTTTCAGGTCATTTTATAACACGTACGATGCTGATCAAGAAGTTATTCATTGTTGTGTTAGTGTCCAGTCATTATGTCGAACTATTGACAAGATTACAGCTATAATCTACAACCGATGTAATTTGTTACATAATTTTAATAAATATTGTGATTGCTTACAATCGGAGTTTACAGCAGTTGACTTTTCCTCCTTAGGGAGTAAAAAGGCTTGTTTTTGCTGCGGAATTACGAAGTAGTATATTTCATCACTAGTCATACTTTAGATTATATTGAACACACTAATTCTCATATTTTATTTATTTTTCCTTACCGAATACAGTCTGTTGCCTCCATATGTGTCAAATCTGGTATTTTAGAATTTGCTTTTAAAGGGAAATTAACAATGGTGTAAAAAACTCTTGAATTTACTGTCGATACTGACTGAACCAGTCCAGGATCATTTTGTTTTGCAAATTTTTGGACTGATCTTCCGAATTTTGAACCATGTTCTGAATTTAAGCTCCCAAAACATATTGAGTTGTTCATTTGTAGGAAATCCTAAAACAAAACCACGATGGATTATTTGAATAATTTAATTATATAAACCAAAGTAAACTTTATGAGTATAATTGTAGCAGTTCCAACTTAAATAATATCACATAAATTTGATTTTCAAAACAGCAAGTCCAAGCAATTTATAGACATGTTATGTCTAAAAAAGTGTTTAAATTTTTTAAGACCAACTAATTCCAGAGTTAAGCTCAATTTTACTTTGATTATATAATGGGAAGCATGCACGATTGATTTTTGTCAAATCTCTCCTGTAAAATCCTCCTTGGAAGGTTTCGCACTTGTGTAGTATTTACCATGTACATGAAGGAATGCCATAGTAGTTGTAGTAAAGAAAATTTACAATGAAAGATTTTACAGGCACTACTTTTAATCTTCTTTGTTTAGGTTATCTAACTAATACATTGCTTTAGCATTGAGTTTGGCTTTAGTAAAAATAATGGTCTTATTTTTAACCACTAGGGCTAGTCAGAAAGTAAGCAACATATTATAGAATGAAATCTCACATTTCAAAGGAGGGGAGATCTTCATTTTTTTTAGGTCAGACATTGTCATGCAAACCTAACCACATATTTGAGTCAACTTTAGTTCCGCCTACGGTTGATAAAAAAAAATGTATTGTGATCAATAATATTACCCTTGTTGAGAAACCAAAACTTGACTTGGTGCCACTTTTCTTTGTGCTACTCTTGATTGACATTTTTCTGAGTTCCCTAAACCACTACACCACAAATTTCACCATTGACACAAAACGTTACAATTGTAGACTATTCAGTTTATTGGAATCCTTACTAACTCATATTTACAGTTTGTTGGTTTAATTGTTGTGTACACTTAGAGCTTGAAAACAATTCTGTATCCAGTTGAATTCACAGCTGATTTTATTAAAGAAGATTAAAGAAAGATTTTCTGAATCTGAATATAGTATATAGTATTCCTATTTTTTCCAACAAGCAAGGAATCACCAAGCAGACAGATTATATACTCCTAAGCCTATATGATAAGTGAACGTTTGGTTATATCCTTATATATAATACGTGAAGGCGATTTCTACAAAACACTACTCCTCCGTTAATAATGGTTTTTACAAACGATGGGTCAAAATTAATTATTTAGTATTTGTTGTGTAAACGCCCCCTATCACCAATTCCTGTAATAAACGTCCTCGGGCTTTGCCCCTCAGGCCATCAAAATCCCAATGTATTTCTTATGAAGAAAATATTTTGTTTACTTAAACAAAATAATTAGTATTGATTACAGCTGTTCATAGTAAACACGTGATACACACAAGAACGTTAGTTTTCAGAGTGAGTTTGTTTTCAGTTTCGATAACTGGATTGATTACATTATCTTTCAGTTGACTCTTTTAAGTCATCGTAAATTATGACTGTTATTCGTTTTGAAATAAACGCCTGCAATAGTTTGCAATTGCTCAAATTCGAGCAACAGGTGCACTAGTTAGCTCTGATGGTTGATACATCAGCCTTTAAAGCCATGTTTACACTAAAGTTTACAACTAAATGTTGCTCTGAACAAATTTGTGAAAATAGTGGAGGATTTTTGGTGGAAAACCAAAAGTTGTTCCTCATTAATTTAGAACAACTAGTGGAAAACTTGTTGTCAAAGAATTGGCTACCGGCCGATGTCGCAACCGGGGTATGTGGAGGGGATAGGAGGAACAGTTCTCCACTAGTTTTCCACAATTTGCTTGCGCAAAGCATGTAGTAACTAGTAACTAGTCTTCCCCTTTTAATGAAAACTTTCTTTACCGACTCTCCGTGGGAAACCAAAATTTAGTGGAAGACTTGTCTCTCCACTAGTGGACAACAGAAAAACTTGCTATATTTTGTAGCATAAGCAACTAGTGGAAAACTTTAGTGGAAGACTTTGGTGTAAATGCGCCTTAAGGGTGCGCTTTACCCCTGACGCGCAACCATTTTCAAGGGTTTGCAAGATTACTGTTTTCACCTGCTACATTGAAGGTAGAATCAAAGTTAAGGTATCATATTAAAGAGGATGCAATTTTCTATAGTTCTGCGTTTCATTATTTCATTTATTTTTAATACACGTCTTATAAACTTGATTTTTAGGACAAGAAAAAAGGCCTTTCAACTAGCCCTAACTTATTGAAAAAACGTTATTTGAAAAACGCAGAACTATAGATTGGTATTTGCACTACTATAAGCCGTTTAGAATGCGTAGCTATCATTATTGGTTAATTCGAAAACATTAATCTTGGAGACCTCTGCAAGCGCTTCTCGTGGCACTGTCCAATGGTGCAACATAGCAACTGAAGCCCGAGCTGAGATTTCTGAACTGAGGTAGAGCGCACCCTTAAGCCACGTTTACACGAGGCCAGTAGAGCAGGCAGGTAACAGGGCCTCTAATGTATTTCCAGTTACCTTAGGCAAGTAGCCTGCCAGCCAACTGGGCTTGTGTAAATGCGGCTTTAGGACTTAGTGGGTTAAGTTCAAAAGAGCCCCAAAGCAAAACACACTTTAGATTTGTGGTGAAAAATAAAAAAGGCAAATTAAGAAAGACACCAACAACAGATTTTAATTTCTCATATCTACAATTAAATATTGAATCTTGTTAAACTATCTTCTTTAAAACTAATTAACAAATTGCTTAGTAATAACTGACCCAAGAACTATGTAAACAATCCACGCTACCACTAGGATTTTTGGTATATCTAAAAATACTTTGTGACCCACTAAAACCTAAAATCGTTAAATAATGAAAAAGCTTGTATTTACAAGCACTTGTATGTTTGATTGTGTATTGTGCATTAATGGAAAATCAGGAAATGTAATGGTTCCTTTTCATAAATGTTATTAGTGGACATATTATGGCTTGATTGAGATTAGATTAATGGAAGACACAACTATTTTCGCTAAATACAAACCAAAATATTTAGTAGGTACCAAACATTATTATCATCATGAGTCCAGTTTACTTTTGTACTGTACAAGAATATTTTAGTATTATAAAATATTGATGGATTTGTACAGATTTAAGCATCTAATTTGGATACATTTAAAACTTTTATCATCCTAATAGTAAAATCTGAAGACTGTTTTGACATGTGGTAACACTTAAATGGGTTGATTTTAAGTAAATATTTCTCTTTGATTTCATGTTGTGTGCTTTACCTACTGCTTAGTTTTATTATCAAAGTACAAGCTTTAATTTACTAATAAGTCGTTTAATTTGGTTTTTGGTAGTACAGTCCAACCTCGGTATAACGAATCTGAAGGGATCGAACTAAATTTTCGTTAGGATATATAAGGATTTTGTTCAAATAGGTTCGTTGTATTGAGGTTAGGTTGGCAGGAATTTCGCTAAGTCGAGGTTCGGAAACAGCATTGTTCAATAAAGGTCGACATTACTTTAATACTTTTCAATGCAATGGCGACCATACAAAGTAGGTATTTTAAGTCAAGTATGACTGGAGATAAGTGGTGCAATCTTGTAGACTTTTTATACTTGTTAGTGACTAAGGCCGACATACTCCTTAGACACAACTGTTAATTAATAGCCCATACCGGTACAGCTAATGGCAACTAAGGGACCTACAGTTCATAGTGGAATCCGAACCACATTTTTACCTTGGTATTAACGAATTGGTCTAATTATCAGGATAGTACTGCAGATAGTCTTAGTTCTCACTAGTGCGGACGTTAATCCACACCAGGAAGTATCTTATCCACAGTGCATGCCTATAAATATCCACAATTCGTGACCTCCTAGTAGCTGGATTACAGGCCACTGCATTTGACCTCATTAAAACACAATTAAGTAGCAAAGGCTACAATACTTTACAGTACAGTATTGACATTTTAAAGAAGAACCTTGATTATCCGGGGTAATGAGGTATCCAACATGGTATCAAAAAGATGACAAATCCATAAAAACACTAATACTGTATAACAAAATTCCATTTATGTCACAATTTGATTTTTTGTTGACAAAATACAATATTACACAATCATTAATATTGCGCAATCATGACTTAAGTTATTGACCTTGGACCTTGGTTCAATTTACAAACTGTGTTTAAAATCACAGCTTACTCAAACTCACCCAAAGTCTAGCCAAACACTGTATAGCAATAAATCTAAATCACGGAAGGGATAAAACAAAACAATAGAGAGTTTTTTAAGCTACTGCTCGTGGGAGGCCAATAGCCTGACATATTGCTTTATCACAACAGAGGAATCTCAATAATAATAATCAACTACATCATTGGCCTTGCCTTGGTTGAAACAAATTGTATTGAAAACAATAAAAACATTTGATAAGTCAACATAAAAGTGTATAATCATTTGAAGATAATAAAAACACTAGTAAAAGGAAGGAATAAAGATAAAAGGTGTTGATATTCTTTCTCTTAGTTCTTCTGTTCTTTCTCAAGTTTCCCTTCATCAAAAAATTCAAAAGTCGTCATAGTTACTTATCCCATTCCCAGTTTACAAATCATTACGTCGTCATCAGTCCTCAATGAATGAAATCAGTTGGGACATAGCGCACAGCATGTCTGCGCGATGATGTTTTATATAGGTATATATATATAAACAAATTTTAACAAATAGTGTTTTTGCCCTCTGGGGACATCAAAATGAAACATAAACCAAAAATGGGGATAAATAAAATAAATGGCCCTCTGGGTCCCGGGCCCAGATCTTACTATGAGACCTACGGTAATAGCTACTTCCCTATAGGGTAATTTTCCAAAAGAGCAGACGAATGTTAGCGCAAGTGCTTACATCAACTTTCCAATTTATTTTAATCAAGAAACTGTGATTTTTTCATAAACAATAATGTGTGGGGGGAGGGTTTGTTGTATTGAGGGAAAGACGTAGAGGTTAAATTCTTTAAGTAGAGGTTCTGGCAATGATAAATTTGTTATATTAAAGGTGTCTTATTTTAGCCGGGATCGTCAAAAATTCATTAAATAAAGGTTGTTATGGTTTGTTCGCTATGTAGAGGTAAAATATTTATTGTGTCTTTTGGAGAGTTCTAGGGGATTTAAAATAATTTGTTATGTCAAGGAATTCGTTATATTGAGGTTCGTTATATCAAGGTTAGACTGTATAATAATTCAATAGGAAAATAACCTAAGGATGAAAAGAAAAATATGACACACTCAAATTGTCATCACACACACAAGCGTTGCTGCCTAAGCATATCTTAAATCTGTGGTCAACTGATCCATAAGGACAAGGAAGAAAACTTAAGTTAACTGTTATTTGTTTAGTTGTACACAAAAGTTTAAACATATTATGATATCAAAAATTACTATTAACATTGAAATATACTATTATATCCCATTGATCTTCATATTGAGTGCAAAGTTGACCCTACAAATTATCAGGTACTCTGAAGACCAGATTCTAAGCATCTTTCAAAATGAACAACGTGGGTTTGAAAACACATAAGGATTTGAAAAAGATATGAAAATATTCTGATAAATAATACTACATTTTTCTCGCCTATTATGGAACTAAATCATAACTAAAATCTCAGCTTTTGGCTCAAACAATATCCAGAGGAAGTAAATTACACCCTCCATTCAATAAGTATCGGGACTGGTTCACGTTAGCCTTGAAAGAGCAGTGGAGGGAGGTTTGACCAGTTGGGTTTGATAGAGGGGTCCTTCACCTTTCAGGAGAACTTTAATTTAGTCACCTACGGGCATTTTTTGAGACAGGAGGTTGATATTTGTGCCGAGCCTTTTTTCATTGTGTTGAGCATACCGTAAAGCAACGCTGTGAAGTTTTGCTTTAAACTCGGGAATTCCTTGTCGGAGACCAAGGGAAAG